AAAAAAAAAGAAACAGAAAAAGAAAAAGAAAAAAAGGAATGCGGGACAATTAGATCTCTCTTCTGCTCTTTCTGTTCTCAAATTTCTGGCTGGAAAAAAAAAAAGAAGGAAAGGAAAAAAGATTCTGCTGAGTAAGTCTGACGTCCCATGCTGAGATTGGTGGCCTTTAAGTTTTTGGTTTTTTTTTGGTTTTTTTCTGCCTACCTTTTTTTTTCCCCCACACCAGACCACTTCCTGCTAATTTTTTCTTTTACTACGGAGTATTACACATGTACTGATACTGTAGTATGTAAACATGTCTACCAAGAAACATAACAGCTCTTCGAGACATGATGAATATATATCAAATATGAATATTATTGATCATTTCCTCTCCCCTCTCATATATACAAATTACCCTGCACATCCCCTGCTCTCTCTCCCTCTCTCCCTCTCTCCCTCCCTCATAGATCGAGTCACGCATCACTCCACTTCCAATCCGGTCTATCCCAAGTTTGTGGGCGGTCGAGAAATTTTTTGTGGATTCCCCTCTTGTTATCTTATCAGTAGGCGGTGAAGGATTTGTAGTCAAGAGGTTTTTTTTTTATTTTTCTTGAAAATCTTTTTTTTTATCTTGTTGGTCGTAGTAGTAGTAGTAGTAGTAGTAGTAGGAGTAGTAGTAGGAGTACAGCAAGTCTCGTAGGCTCCTGTCCATAAATGGACGATACCTAGTAGAATAGATAAATGAGACGCAGCCTCGAAAAAATATTCCATCGCTAGCTCAAAAATACCCCCAAGTTGAATACAAATGAAAGTCCGGATGCATGATACACCTCCAACGCCTTGATATATATAGATGCATGCCTACATGCGTGGGGATATACACGTGTGTGAAGGATGAAAGAAAATTGAAAACAAAAATTGAAAAGGATAAAAAGACAGAATCACCGTGCTCCAGCATACAACGACGGCTGTCCGTTGGGCTGCGACTGTCCCGTATGAGGCTGGTGATGTTGGTCCCTCGACCATCCAGGCCCGTGAGACCGTATTGGCTGAGGCGCCGAGGCGGTGACCCCACCGACCCCTCGTGAGGGGGTCGCGTACGGCCCGCCGACCTCCCCGTCGCGCTCGCTGCTGCTTCCCGTCATGGTGCTGCTCCTCCCGCTGTGCCGGCTGACGTGAGAGTACCCGCTGCTGCTGGTCGTCCGACGGTGCAGCAGTCCGGGGGGGCTGCTATCCGACGACGCGACGGTCGAGTCGTACGAGGTGGTCTGGTAGAGGAGCGGGTTGTGCTGCTGCTGCTGATGCTGCTGATGCTGCTGCTGCTGGTAATGCGACAGGCGCATCTGGGCGAACCCGTGCGTGAGAGCAGCCGCGTCCGTCGACGATTCGGACGGTGATGACGGTGTGGTGGCGGCGTAGGATGGGCAGGCGCCGCAGTGAAGGTCCTGGATGCCGCATCTGTCGCGGAGGATGCGGTACATCCGCTCTCGGACCTCGGCGGCGGCCGGCCTCTCGAACGGGTTGGAGGCGAGCATGTCGGCGACGACGTGGAGCATGGGCGTGAAGCCGTGGAACACGTGGGCTCCGTCGTCGTCGTCGGCGGCGGCGGCGGCGGCGGCGGCGTTGCCAGGTCCGGTCCTGGATGACGAGCCCGAGCCCGACGCCTTCCTGGCAGCGTCCTTGGCCAGACCGGACATCCACTCCTCCACCTGGCCCAGGTTATTGTGGAACGAGGTGTCGAGGACGGCGCCGCCGCGACCTCCCTTCTTCAGCTTAGCCGAGCGGAAGCTGGCGAACTTGCTGGTCGACCGCTTCAGCAGGAAGGAGAGCAGCTCGAGGATGATGCAGCCCAGGGAGAAGATGTCGGCCTGCTGGGTCGGGTCGGGGACCGGGAGGGAACCGCCGGTGCCGTCGCCGTTGCCGAAGGAGGAGAAGTCGTTGCCGTCCGGCGAGACGGACAGCGACGCCAGCACGGCCCTCCTCGTCGGCGGGCTCCCCGGGCCGGAAGGGCGGAACCACTGCTCGGGGGCGGCGTAGTCGTACCACTCCCTGTCGAACGACGACTTGTCGGCGCGTGCGGAGGCGGCGTCGGGGCTGAGGCGCGTGGGGTCGACGAGGAAGATGGTGTTCTGGGCGGTGAAGAGGACGGCCGACGGCTTGATGTACGAGTGCGCGCGGCCCTGGCGGTGCAGGGAGGCCATGGTGTCGACGAGGCAGAGGATCCAGTCGACGACGAGCTCCCGGCGGGCCCTCTTGGGCAGCGACCTGAAGGAGGACGGGGCCGTGGCCAGGAACGACTTGAGCGTGTGGTCGCTTACGGGTGACAGGAGTATGTAGCCGTAGCCCTGGTGGGTGTACGACGCCCAGTACGAGACCATGTGGACGCTCTGGACCGTGCGGATGGCGTTGACCACGTCGAGGAACTCTCCGTGCGGGATGCCACCGCCGCCACTGCCGCTGCCGCCACCGCCAGAGGCTCCTCCTCCTCCTCCTCCTCCTCCTCCAGAGGAAGAGCTTCCTCCGCCGCCGCCACCGCCACCACCACCACCTCCTCCTCCGGCAACGCCGCTCAGGACGTATCGGCGCCGGGTCAGCGTCGTCCCCGGCGGCGCGTTGGGCAGCCTGACCTTGTCGACGTGGTTCGCCCTGCTGGACGGCAGCGGCAGCGGCGGCGCGCGGTCGACGACGTCGACGGGCACGACGTCAAGGTCGGCGTAGGCGCGGTGCTCGCCCCTCTCCAGCGGGGCGACGAGGTACTGGTACTGGCGGGCGTGGAACCTGCGGTCGACGCGGTCGTCCCTGGCGGCCGTGAGCTGCAGCCGCTCCACGTCTTCGGGGGAGAGCGGGAGCTCGGAGTCGTCCCAGCCGTCGTCGACGATGCCAAAGATCTGGTCCGGCATGCCGATGTCGACCAGGATCAGGAAGAAGCGCTTGGCCCCGTGCCGGATGCTCTCCCAGTACGTGCGCTCCGTCAGGGCGTCCGAGGTGAAGGCCACGGGTCGGTCGAGGCGCTGGATCTCCTCGGGAACGAGGTGCCTCGTGACGAAGTCTCGCGTGACCGTCTGGTCGATGCGCTGGGGAGTCCACCATGGCGGCGGTCCCATCGTCGTCGCGTCTTCGGTTGGTTAGGGAAGGGTACTGGTATCGGTGCTTGGATGCTGTGTGTCGGGCTGCTTTTCCTTCAGACTTGACGACGCATCTCTCTCATCCGTCTTGCGATCTCTTGTTTACGGATACAGCCAGGTAGAGAGAGAGAGAGAGAGAGAGAGAGAGAGGGTATGAGGGTATATGAGATGGAGAGAAGGGGGGAGGCGGGGTGGGAGAGAAAAGGAGACGTATGTTTCCTAGGTGCGGTTGAGGGTGGCAGGTTGAGAAAGATGATGAGAAATGAGAGAGGCAGAAGAGGGAGAGAGACAGAGAGAGAGCACAGGCAACAAGGCTCTCAACCCATGGGCACCCGGGGACGTAAACTATTATTATACCCACTGACCAATGCAACAGTCATGACGGGAGGAGGAAAAGGACAGAAGAAGGAAGAAAAAAGAAGAGAAGAGAGAAAGGAGACCGATCCTTTCGAGGTGGAGGGGGGTGTGCGTGTATATGTGTATATGTGTGTGTGCGTGCGTGAGTGTATGTGTGTGTGTGTGTATGTGTGTGTGTGTATGTGTGTGAGTGTATGTGTGTGTGTGTGTGTGCGTGTGTGTGACCGAGGGACGAGGGTAGTGATGATACGCAGTGTGGTGGTACTCGTCGTAGCCTGACAGTGCCGGCGGCCAGTTTCGACGGGGTCGGGGAACGAAAGACGAGGATGGCGAGAAGAGGGGAGCGCGTCCTGTCCTTTGAGGCGGCGGCGGGTAACGGACGACGACGACGAGGACGACGAGGACGACGAGGACGACGACGGTGACGGGGCAAATCAGTCGACTGGCAGGGCTTATCCTTATCTAGGGGGATTGTCTGCGTCTAGGGTGGACGGATTGGGACTCTGTCATTGGTCGATGGGGACGTCGACGGGCGCTGATAAGGGACTAGCTATTTTGGTGGTGACTCCATTGCTCTCCGACCATGAGGGAAGTACGGGATTTTCTTCCCTCTTTTCATGTCATTTTATTCTTATTTTGTTTTATTGATTTATTTGGTATTTATCTTGTGAATCTTTTTTTCCTTTTTTTTTTCCTTCTTTTTTTTCGACTCCTTCCTTCTTTCTCCATCTCTACCGGTTGTACTATCTACATCATCATTGTGAGTAGCATGCGATGCGACCTCGTCAGGTTTTCCTTCCCAGAAGCTGCTCTTATATAGGAGGCCCGTCGTAATACAGAAAAAAAACTCTCTCCATGTACAGATTACAGATTCATCGTACAACAGACATGTGGGACAAGGTCAGAAAGGTGTTGGTGTTGGGTGTCTGCCCCACCAAGCTCTATTCCTGCATTACCACTCTGTAACGATACTCTGCAATACATCATGTCGTGTTCTTTTCTTCTTTTCTTCTTCTTCTTTTTCTTCTCCTTCCTCTCCTTCCTCTCCTTCCTCTCCTTCCTCTCCTTGTCTCTTCCTTCTTCTCCTTCTACAGTGCCAGCTACCCTGAAGCTCTACCCGTCAAGGGATGGCGTGATGCGGCTTATGCTGATACTAGGAACCACCGTGTGCAGCTGGTCACCACTCGATATACGATAATGTATATTCCCATCACCCTTTCTAGGGAAGAAGGGGGAGAGGGGGGGTCTTCACGCTCGACAAGATCCGTCATATCCCTCCACCCCCTAGACTATATGTAGACAGGAGAAACATACAGGTAGGGGGGGAGAAAGAGGGTAGATGCCAACATGTACTCGCCATGTCCAAACACACACACAAGGTCCCGCCTCGCGTCAGCCGGTAACGACGCCACACCACCCCGGTCTGTTGCGGGCGTTCGTTCGACGGAGCGGGGGTCTTGGTCAGGGAAGAAGGAAAAAAAGAAAAAAAAAGGTCTGGATCGAAAAGTTCTCTCTAGGTTTTCATCTTACATGTATCGAGTACGGATCTCCCGATTCTACAGTGATACATGGAATAAGTAATACGGGGTACGAGCGAGCACATGTACCTTCTCTGTCGCTCTCTCTCTCTCTCTCTCATATGATCCCCTCCCATATTCCCCGCATGCACGATCTCTTCTCACATTTACAAGACAAGATCAAATTCATCTCAACTTTACATTGGTCTGGCCTGTTATCATACACACATGTTTCGATCACATGTTCTATGCAGTGGACTGACGAGATACACCTTCCGACCGATACATTGCCCTCCCCCCCCCCCCCCGCTCCCCACCGGAAGAATCCTGGCTTGTTGGGCTCATCGTGGCCTCGGTTCCAACAAAGTTCTCTCGGTGACTCTCCGAGAAGGGGAACCCACAGAGCGCCCGTTTCCCAGCGGCCGCACGGCTGCACGTCCCGACAAGCACGAATCCTCTCTTCCCATCATTGTCTCGCCCGCGCGGCGCTCGCATCCTCTGCTCGTACTGATACTCTCCATCATGTTCTATTGCTACTATACCGGCATCAGACTACTCTATGGTAGACAAATCTAAGCTCTGCTTTCAGCCCTCACGCACGCTCACACGCATATACACCCCCCATCACCTCTCCGCTCTCTGTCCCTTCCCCCGCTTTCCTCTCTCCCTTGCGGAGCAGAGAGAGGGGAAGGGAGGAGGGAGAGGAGAAGAGGAAGAGGAGTGAGATGGAGAGGTAGAGATGTGTCCTCGGACCAGTTCTCGCGGACCAGTTCACCAATTCCTGAGAGAAGGGCAACCTGCCATCTCTATTTCACCCATCATCGCACCGTACAACGACCAACGGCATTCTCCCGGCCAATAGCCCAACACCGTCCAACCGCAGCAGAAACAGCACACCTTCGCTCGGCCCGGTCCCGGTCCTTTCCCGCAGCATACGAAATGAGGATATATGCCATCTTTCCACCGTCATCTTATTATGATTCGACATTACTTGTACCTGTAAACTAGCAGCAGCTCCCATGCGATACAGCCAATCCCATCATCTCTTCTTCCGGTCCAGCCAGAGAGACGAGAGAGAGGGATGGGGGGCATGGTGAGGAAAAGAGGGGCGCAGTCGGGAAGATTCGTCCCCATCTTGGCCGCCGACGAGTGCGTGGCCACCAGCATATCCTCCTACTTTCCTCAGCTCTTCTCCTCCCTCTCACGCCTCAAGCCCGCACGTCCCTTGTAAGTCAGCATGCCCTTGTCGACCCCGGCCAAGGAGCGGGCCATGATCTGGACAGCTGCCGGCAAGACGTTGTACCAGTCAATCCACCGGGCGTAGAGCGGGGTTCCGATGCTTCCGCCCATACCCTCGTCGATGAGCGTCACGATCTCCTTGACTACGTCGACCGGCTCGACGGCGGGCGCCACGAAGCTGTTAGGCGTCGTCACACCGTAGAAGAGGGGCGTCGTCAGCTGCCCGGGGGTGACGAGGAGCATGCGGATGTCCGGGTGCGAGCTGCGCAGCTCCGCCGCCAGGGACTTGTGCATGGCCGTCATGCCGGCCTTGGCAGCGGCGTAGTCGCTCAGGTGGGCGGCGCCGAGGTGGCCCAGGACCGAGGAGACGTTGACGATGGTGCCGCCGCGACCGTTGCGGATCATGGCGGGGAGGAAGGTCTTGATGCAGTAAAAGGGCGCCATCATGTTTGTGCGCAGGCTGCGGTCCACGTCTTCCATGCTGAGGTCGAGCATCGACTTGCCGACGACTATGGCGGCATTGTTAACGAGTATGGTGGGCGTGCCGAGCTGTTTTCGCATATCAGTCAGCCTTTCCCACCCTGCACTCCTTCCTCCTGACCAGGTCAGACTCACCTCCTTCTCAATCTCTCTCGCCGCCTCGGCCACCTGGTCCTTGTCACCGACATCGCATCTGTAGTGAGTGACGCCCCTAGCCTCGCAGTTCTCCATGTCGTTGACGTCGAGCACGGCGACGGTGGCGCCCCTCATGCCGTACACCTCGGCCAGCAGGAGCCCCATGCCGCCCGCGCCACCCGTGATGACGATGACCTCCTCGCTCAGGTCGATCTCGCGCGGCCTGCCGTAGGCTAGGCGGCGGTTGACCGAGGCCGCCGCCCAGCCCATGGTCACGACCGTGGCCCAGGCAAAGGAGGCGATCATCCACGGGGCATCCCACTCGACAGCGCGGGCGCGCAGGCATAGCGGGATCATGAAGCACACAAAGGGGTGCAGCAGCGTCACGTAGAGAACCTTGAGGACGAGGTCGACCGACAGCGGGGCCAGCCACGAGTCGCTCATGGTCCGAAGGTCTGATGTCCGGGGGGAGGACATGATGAATGTGTGTCTGTGTGATAGGAGAAGGGGGGGGAGCGTATTCCCCGGGAGAGTTTACTCTCTTCCCTCTATTCTCTTCTCTTCTCTTCTGCTTCCGCCGAGGTCGTATCGCGTCTGTCCTTGATCTCTCTTTTTCGGGGTCGTGCAGCTGAGAGGGGTTATGTGGGGGAGAGCTGTACAATAATCGTAGTACCTGGTACCCGGTAGTGTCTTATTGCCTGCTGGGTATGAGGATGGGAGGTGGAGAGAGTATAATTGATGGCAGGTACAATGGGAGGGAAAAAGATGAAACTAAATGAGAAGAGAAGGTAAGATGGAAGGAAGAATGAAGAGGAGAAGGAGAAGGAGAAGGAGGAGCAGAAGAAGAAGTTGGGAGCAGGTGCGATCAAATGGCTCCTGCCTCGTGGATTCACGTACTCCAACTCCGTATTCGGGGGGGGGGGGGGGGGGGTTCTTTTTTTCTTCTTTTTTTTCAATTATGTGACTTGCAGAGTCTCAAAAGCACGGGAAAGGGGGATACTCGGGTCCCTGAATCCAGGCCAATAGTACCAGACCCCTGTCACTCTCACATTCAGGTGGGCGCTTGTTGGGTAGGCGAATCAAGGCTGTTGTGAGAATGTTTAGGCTATTCAAAGGCATCATGAGTCTTTGAGTCTTTTTTTTTTCTATTTCTTTTTTGGAAAAAAAAAAAAGGAGAGAGGAAAGCATATATGCATATATATATATATATATATATTCTCGTGAGGATATTGTGTCCAACATATACCTCTGGTACAATACACACACGCTCTCGTACGAGTAGCAGGGGATAGATCATAAAGCTTGGGAAGGATGTGTTTCACCACGTTGATACTCTTCGTACGGGGAAAGGAAATATTACTCGTATGTTTCCATAATGTCATCCTCTATAGCAGCAAGAATATAGCTTCTCTTTTTCCCCAACCTTTTTTCTTCCATTTTTGTCTGGTATAAAACAGACGACGACTCGAGCAAGTGCCTGTTTTGTTTTGCTGGCGGTTGAGCATCTTCAACGAGCTCTGACTTGGTCAGTGGCAGACTTCAGAGGCCCGTCATACAAGAGGGGGGGGACTGTCAGAAATTGATGTATCGTACCCAAGTCGTGAAACAATCTTGACTTTGCTCAGCTTGTTCACACGTCGGGCACCCCGACCTATCCCACGGTTATCTCCCTCTGAGGCTCGGAACACTGCGACGCTGCGACCTTTGTGAGATGGCAAAGGGCAAAGGGCAAAAGGGCCAAAACAAGGCTTACTTGGTGGAGGCAGTTGCTGACCGGAAAGGCATGACACCATCTCTAGATATGTAGTCAAGCATCGGAATAGTATGTAGTGCTCAGGTATCAAACAGTATCCTGTCTTTTACCTTGTCTTTTCTTTTTTTTTATAGAAAAAAACAAGGAAGAAGAGAAGAGAGAGAGAGAGAGAGAGAGAAGAAAAGGTGGTATATGACAACATGTTTTTCTTCTTTGGAGTGGTGCTTTTACAATTATAATCCCTCCCCCCTTTCCCCCCCTCCCCCCCTCTTTAAAAAAAGAAGAAAAACGCCCAAAAAATGCCCATGTATATATACGTAATGTTCATGTTGTACAATGTTGATGACGAGATATTCCCCTCCTCCTGCTTGGAGATGTTATGTGAAGATGCTGCCGAGCAGAGCAAGAAGTAGGGGTGAGAATCTAAATCTTGTTATTGCTGCGGTTCACCCGAGCCCTGTGCGTCCTGTACCTGTCCTTGTCGTCCTCCTCGCGGCTCCGTTCCCTCTGCGCCGTCTCGCTCCTGCGGACGTGGTAGGAGGGGTCCCTGACGATGCCCTCCTCGCGCCACCTCCGCGGCGGTTTCACCCCGAGGGCGGCCTTCATCTCCCAGACGCTGCGTCCGCGGCGCTCCCAGCGCTCGCGCCGGTCCTCCTCCTCCTCTTCCGACGGGCGCCACCGGCTCTTGAGGATGCGCCGGATGTTCTCGGGCGACACCTCGAACTTGTCCGACAGGGTCTGCGTCGTGTACACCTCAGGGAACTGCGCGTTCAGGGCGCGGATGCCGGCCAGCGCGTCGGGCGAGAGCCGCTTCCGGGGGCGCCAGCCCTCGGGGAACTTGGTCTTCAGCGCCTCCTTTTGCACCCGCCAGTTCTCCACCTTGCCGGCCGGCGGGGCCTCGTCCTCTCCGTGGCGGCCCCCATCTCTTTCATTGCTGCTGCTGCTGCTGCTGCTGCTGTTGCGACTCTTCTGGGGTGGGCGATGGCTTCTGAAGGGTTTGTCGCCGCTGGTACCGTCGATTGATGGCCCAGCCCCCCTCGTACGCTTTACGTGTCGCATGTTGCTGGGTGCGTGGCGGCTCGTCGTCGTCGTCGTCGTCCCACCGTGGACGGGTCGCGCTCTTCCCTCTGCAAGGTCTACGCCGCCCGTTGCGGACCCGCGTGCCCCTTCTTGCGGTTGCTTCCGGTGCTCGTCGGCGCTCGCATCGGAGCTGGCGCCGTCACGGTGCTCCTGCTCCTGCTCTTGCGGCGGCTGCCGTGGTGACTTCTCGTGCTGCTGCAGGAACCTCGGACTGTGGTGGAAGAGCCGGGCCGAGATGAGTCTGCCGGCTCCGGCGGCGGCGGTGAGTCGCGTCGGCGTCGGCCGTACGAGTCGAGCAAGGACAGGAGGGATGGGAGCTGCTGCCGTCCCTTCGAGTCTGTGGACCTGGGCTAGACCGCTGAGAAAGGTCCTCAGCGGGACCGTGCGACAGGAGCAGCTCATGGCTCCCGTGGTCCTTTTCTGCCTCTGGCTTTTCTTCCTTCCTTCCTTCCTTCCTTCTTCCTTCTTCCCCTACACCGAGCAGAGTTGCACGTGGTGGAAGGTGGAAGATGATGGAGAGGACGATGCGATGGGGATGGTTGGATGGAAAATTCCAGCCTGCACCGGCACCTTTGCACACCCTGCATTGTGGGCGGGACCCTGAAATCGATAATAATAATGATGAAAAGCATCTCCCAGGAATTGACGGATAGGGAGAAATATTATTCCGAGGTAAAAGGGGGGAGTCGCAGCTGTAGGGTCTGCTCTCCACTGAGGTGTCGGGTCACCTACGTATTATTACCTCTCTCCTGCTGAATCATCCACATCTCCACATTGAGGAGTGCATCTCCCTCATCTCTTCATCTCTTCCTCTCTTCCTTGATCCATCCATACTCGTACAAGGTTATCTGTATCAGCTGGCAAAACCGCTTCCGACAATCCTCTCGACCGATTCACACGTGAATACGATTACGACATGATAACTCGTACTGCTAATCTGATCTTTTTTCTTCTGTTCCCACACGCATGTGATGGTACCGATGCCTCCCCCGCCTATCAGGATAGATCTACATCTGTACATACCCGGCATCTGATCCATGACGTCAAACGATCTGATGACAACATGGAATAGGCTCCCCTCGTCATTTCTCGATGCTATCATGCTCACTTACGATCCTTTGATATCTTCATATGTCCCCTGCTCATAAATCTCTTCAGCTTATGATACCCTTCAATGCCGTGAGATGCTGACTTTGCACTGACATTCAGTCATTCATCGGGTAGTATGATATAGCTCAACTTGCCCTGGTCATATTCAGAAGTAATTTTTTCGAAACAGTATGGACAGTATACCACAAAAGGAAAGAAACGTGTAATATGGCACTGACACCATAGCACAGAAAGAGACTGAACTGATTTCCTTTTTTGGAGAAGCCTACGTCAGTCAGAATATGAATATGCGGAGGGGGGGGGACACACTTTACGAGCAGTGTGCCATACCCGCCTCCCGGAACTGGTATCCTGAAATGGGAACCCTTTTGTTCATCTGAGAGGGGGAAGCATCCCCACCAACACTGTCCGTAGATCCTACCGTACCAGTATTCGTCATGTCAACGACAACGAACGTACGTACAGCGCCACTGGCCATTGAGAGTAAGGATCATTGTTGGGATATCCGAGACAGATACGTCCTCTTTTCCAACGCCACTTGTATACGGGTATATATCATATATGCATATATATATGTGTGTGTGAGTATGTGTGAGAGAGAGTGTGAGTGTGTGAGTGTGAGTGTGTGAGTGAGTGTGAGTGTGTGAGTGAGTGTGTCTATATGTGTATATATATATATATCTATTCGTCCTTGTGTATTCTGAATAGTGTCTGTAATCTCCATCTCCCGTTCTCCGTACCAGCTCTACCATCTTCTCTCTTTACTGCCATTATATGCATACCCTATCAAGTGACTTACACGATGCAAGCCACGACACCTAACCAAGTACCCGGCACACCAGCCCGCTCGTGCGGCCATGAATTTACCTGGACAGACCAGCACCCTCGCATCCAAGATATCCGCAGGCTCCTCTACACGTACGACACTCTTGGATCCGAGGCAATGGCCAAGATAGACGCCATCTCTCCTCTCCCATCTCATTCAGGACCGCCGGACCCATCGTCAGCACACAATAGCAGCAGCAGCAGCAGTAAATGCCCTTTTTCCACACGAGATCCCTACGCTATCCTCGAAAAAGGTGCCCATAGTGACCCCGTCCTGCATCGTCTGTGGAACGAGGTCAACACTCCTCCTGACTGGGTAGACTGGGATCAGATATCCCGTGGACAGAGGGTTGTGTACCGTTATCACGGACAGATGATGTTGGGAGTAAGCTCTCTCTCTCTCTCTCTCTCCCTTTCAACTTCTTTTTCTTTCTTCTTCTCCTTTTTTTCCCTCCCATTTTTTTTCTTCCCTTCTCCCGTTCTCCTT